ACTTTCATTTTGTTTCAACAACACAGTACAGGATTGTCCAGGTCCCCACGCACTCTTGGTTCAAGCTGTACCCAGTGTTTGGATCTTCTATAGCTGTTTACTGTGTGTGTGTGTGTGTATATATATATATAAATAATATGTATATAATTGATTTTTCACAGAGAGGGAGAGTTAGAAAGACCAATGAGAGAGAAACATCAATCAGATGCCTCCTGCACACAACCCACTGGGGATGTGCCCGCAACCAAGGTACATGCCCTTGACCAGAATCAAAACTGGGACCTTTCACTCTGCAGGCCCACACTCCATTTACTGAGCCAAACAAGTTTCGACTACTTAGCTTCTATACTCTTGAATTGGTCTGGGATTCCTAAATCCCTCTTCCCCTCCAGGGTATTCTCTGACCTGGACTCCTATGGTACTTTTGGGCTTCCTGCCTTATTTCACTGAGCCCAGAGGAGAGAAATCTTGGTCCTCTATAAGCTACAAACTAGGGTCTTAGTAGTTTTTGTATAGATGGTGCTAGCACAGTATTTGCCTGCTGAATAGCATGCTTAAATTTCAATTGTTTTTTTGGTTTTTTTCTTTTGCTGGTTATGGTGCTTAGTTTCATTTTCTTTTCTTTGTAGTGCTCATTGTGTTTGAAAAGAGTGTTTTTGGTCACCTAGCTGGCACTTGAGAATCTGAGCATCCTCACGGTAACTACAACTTTTCCTCTGTAAACCTAATTTCATCCCACAAACTTTAGAAACTGACTAGATACAAATTGAATTTAAAAATAAGACTCCCTTTTCCATCAGTGTTTTCCTTTTGAAAAAGAAATCAGCTGGCAGCAGTTTACAGACTCTTTCAGACACAGAGACAGATTTTCAGAGAAGGCAATGGTTTGAGACACTAAAAAGGAAGCCCTAGCTGGTTTTGCTCAGTGGTTAGAGGTTTGGTCTGCAGACTGAAGGATCCCAGGGTTTGATTCCAATTAAGGGCATATGACCAGGTTGCAGGCTCAATCCCCAGTAGGAGGGGTGGGGTGCAGGAGGAAGCCGATCAATGACTTTCTCTCATCATTGAACTATCTCTTTCTCACTTTCCCTCTGAAATCAATAAGAATATATTGTATATTAAAGGGAGAAGTGGTAGGAAGGGGGAGATAGAAAACTTGGAGACACCCTGGATTATCACAATAAAATTTGCTTTTTAGTTTATGGATCTTGTCATTTTGGGGATTCAATGGTATTGCCTGCAGATGACACACCCATCACTTTTAGCTGAGTAGAAAACTCTTAGAATGCCCCCATAATGGCCGCATCTAAAAGAGATAAGTGTTTGCCTCCATAAGTAACTGTGTGTGACATCATGACTACATCCCCTATCAGATACTTGTGTCTAGGTTAAATGTTTTTCCACCAAATATTATTCCACTACATGCCCTCCAAAATTAAGAATGAATGAATGAATAAATAAATAAATAAATTAGGAGGAACCTAAATGGCAGCATAGGTAAACGCCTAACTGCAACCTCACACAATTTCAAAAAATACAACTAAAATACAAAGTGGACATTATCCAGAACTACAGGAAAGTTGACTGACTGGAAATTCTACAACTAGAAATTCAAAGAAAACCAGAAGGAAAATAAGAGGAGCTGTAAAAGCCTAAGGTACAGAGACACAGTTTGCACGTTGGGAGAGGACTGAGCTGGAGAGGAGGGGGCAGCTGAGTGCCTGGCTGGTGTTCCCTAGCATAAAAGCTCCGGTCTGCTAAACCCCAGTTCTATAACCCAGGCTCATAAGGAGGGAATCTGGGCTGTAAGGCGGAAACTCAGTGGATAGGCAAAAGGCAGAGTCCTGAAGGCCCGCACGTTACGTGCAGAGGACGGACTGTTGACTGTGCTGCTGGATTGCCCTGTCTGGAAGAAGACAAAGGTTCTGGACTGCACTGAACCCCACTTCCAATCCCACTTGCAACTGCACTGAACCCCAGTTCCGGGCTCATTGTGGGAGAGACTAGACTGTCTGGTAGCGGGAGAAACTTGAGGGCACCTTTCTCTCAGAGGTGCTTGCAGCAAGTACCAAAGGACACTGAGGAACACTGAGACTCAGGAACCTCATAGGGTGGGGCTAGTTGTAGAATTTCCAGTCAGTAAACTTTCCTGTAGGCTCCACCATGAAATTCTGCCCCATCCAAGTTGAGCACAGAGGCTTTTGCAATTTTCCAAGTCTAGTAGAATAGGCTGTCTCCTGGCATAGACACAGCTGATTCTCACAACCAATTGGCCTGGAGTTCAGTTTCTCCCAGTGATACCAACAACAATCAAGACTTAACTACAATAAGGCTGCACACACAGTCCACAAAGGGGTGCACCAAGAGTGTTCACCTCAGGTAACTGGGAGGCTGACCCACTGAACCATATAGGACACCTTAACACACCAAGCCACCCTACCAACTCAGAGAAGCTGTGAAAATGCTACAGATCACAAACAGAAGAAATGAAGGACAAAAAGGAACTGGATATAGAGTTCAAAACCACAGTTAAAAGGTTTTTCAAGACTTTTCTAGAAAAGGTCGATAAAATAAATGAGACCTTTGAGGATATGAAAAGGGATCAACTAGAAATAAAGAATACATCATCTGAAATAAAAAATATTATACAGAGTCCTAAAAACAGAATGGAAGATCGCAAGAATCAAGTAAAAAATTTGGAACATAAAGAGCCAGAAGACACTCCTCTGCAGAAGCAAGACAAGAGAATCCGGAAAGTTGAAGATAATGTAAGAAACCTCTGGAACAACCTCAAGCAAACCAGCATCAGAATTATGGGGTTCCCAGAAGAAGAGAGAGAGCAAGATACCTAAAACATATTGAAAGAAATAGTGACAGAAAACTTCCCCCACTTGGTGAAAGAATTAGACCAGCGTTTTTCAACCGCTGTTCCGCGGCAAACTAGTGTGCCGCAAGATGTTGCCTGGTGTGCCGTAGGTGCAGACAAGACAATTTTATAATTTTTCACTATTTTGTTTACTTAATATTTCATAATAAAGTAATTATAAAATACTTTCTTTGTGTTTATTTGATTCCTATTCAAGAGAATTACTTTATATATAGTCAATATAGGCACAGAGTTAAATTTTTTAACATTTTCTAATGGTGGTGTGCCTCGTGATTTTTTTCATGAAACAAGTGTGCCTTTCCCCAAAAAAGGTTGAAAAACACTGAATTAGACTTACAAATCCAGGAAGCACACAGAACCCCAAACAAAAAGAATCCAAAGAGGACCACACCAAGACACATCATAATTAAAATTCCAAGACCAAAAGACAAAGAGAGAATATTAAAAGCAGCAAGGGAAAAGCAGGTAGTTACCTATAAAGGAGCACCCATACGACTGTCATTTGATTTCTCAACAGAAACCATGCAGGCCAGACTGGAATGGCAAGAAATATTCAAGGTGATGAATAACAGAACCTGCAGCCAAAAATACTCTACCCAGCAAAGCTATCACTCAGAATTGAATGCCAGATAAAGATCTTCACAGAAAAAATAAAGGAGTTCATCACCACCAAACCAGAATTATATGAATTGCTGAAGGGGTTCTTTAGGAGGAGGAAGAAGATAAAAATTATGAACAACAAATACATAACTATCAACAAGTGAATCTAAAAACCAAGGGAATTAAAAAATCTGATGAACAGAATTAACTGGTGAATATAATAGAATCAGAGGTATGAAAGGGGAGTGAATTGATGATTCTTGGGGAAAAGAGTGGAGTGTGGGGGAAGAGACTGAACATAAACTGTGCACCTATGGATGAGGACAATGGGGGGTTGGGCAAAGTGCAGAGGGTGGGGTGGGAACCTGGTGAAGGGGAGCAATGGAGGGAAAAAAATGAACATTTGTAATATGAACAATAAAGATTAATTTAACAAAAGAAAAAATATAAATTTTTATTAAAGTGTTCTATTATTTTATGTTAAAAAAAATTAGTAGCAGACATTATCACAGATATCCCCTTCCCCTCATGTTAAGCTTTCAATGAAAAGACTTCCTAAGGCAGCAAGTTAAGGCTCCAAGAGCAAGCTGATAAAGAGCACCGTAGGAAAACTGCAGAAGTAATGCCATTTATTCATTAAAATGGTCACATTATTTTTTAAAATATATTTTTATTGGTTTCAGAGAAGGAAAAGGAGAGAGAATCATTGGTCAGTTGCCTCCTACACCCCCCATACTGGGAATCAAGCCCACAGCCTGGGCATGCCCTGACCCGGAATTGAATTGTGACCTTCTAGTTCATAGGTTGACGCTCAACCACTGAACCATGCCAGCCAGGCTGAGAATACCTCAATTTATCTGAAGAATTACATGAATTTAAAATCAGTATAGAAGTTGACAGGGCATTTTCTTTTTAAGTATGATCCAAGACTAAAAGAGGTGTCCTTTCTTTTTAGACAAAACCACAGAAGATCCCTTCACTATCACTGAACATACTGATCTAGTGAAGGTATATAGTCAATACTGAAACTTCCTGAAGAGGGCAAAAATAGAAAGTTTAAAGTATTGCCAGTAGAAGGCGCTGTAGAGTTAACAGCCTACAATGGTTAGTCTGACACTGATCCAAGTAATCTTCATATCTTTATTTCTAGACAATGGGAAACTGTAGGAGTTTGCATAGTAAATCACCTAGTGAGAATTTGATCCTACAGTGAGAAACTTCTTTATAAATGCTACAAGGGCCAAGCTTCCATCCAATACTACACAAGCATATAAACTATATATGAAAAGGTGCCATTGGAGAAATCATTAACATAAGAAATGTCTTCCCTAATCAGTTTAAAAGTGGGAAGAACTCATGTGATCAAATTGTTTTAAATACATTAACATGCCAGCCTGGTTCTACAAGTAGCCAAATTATCAATAGGATTATGTAATGTGGAAGAAGTATTGGTGTAGGAGGTGTTTAAACTCTGTCTTTGGTCCTAGGATAAACCAGGCAGTTACATAATTTCAAAATGTGAAAGACAGACATTCTGAGATATCAAGGCTTGACAAATCACCATCACAATATCCAGAAGCTCTACATATTATACAGCCACACAGGTAAGAACTAAATTCAGGTACGCTACAAGAGTGGTAAAATGTCAATCTGCAAAAGCTGCAATTTTCTATGGCAGTTTGTCAGGTGGTCGGTCTTGTATTAGCCTGGATCCTTCTGCAATTGCTATCTTCACCTTGAACTCTCACATTCGACCTGAATGAGAGCCTAGGTCCGAGGAAGTAAAAGCCAACAACCGCTTACTCAACAGTGCATTGTGTCTCTTCAGGTATACTATTATGTCTCCTTGCTTTTCAATAATTTCTTCTAAACTTGAAATAGTCCTACAAAGAATCAAAATATTAATGGGTTACACATATTACCAATACTCATTGGTCTCTTTGCAAATGGGTCCCAACCAGTTGAAAACTAATGAAAAGTATAGCATATTGCATTTGTTACCTTTTCGTAGATATTTTAAGCCAAGGCAATATCCCAAAATGAGATTCTTTCATTTAACTGGGCTTCACCACAGCTAAAAGGAAGTAGCATCAAACCTAATTCCAGCTCTGGCACATATTGCTCAGTGAATAGAGCTTCAGTCCACACAGTTGTGTACCTGAGTTGCAGGTTCCATCCCTGGCCTGCGTCAGGGCACATGCAGGAGGCACCCAATAAAGATTAATTTAACAAAAGAAAAAATATAAATTTTTATTAAAGTGTTCTATTATTCAATTAAAAGACTAAGCTTTCAATTAAAAGACTTCCTAAGGCAGCAAGTTAAGGCTTTCACATTGATGTTTCTCTCTCTCCCACCCTCCCTCCCTTCTACTCTCCCTCTTTCAACTTCTATTCCCCACCCAAAGCTTACCTGAATCCAGTCTCTGAAGTAATATTGCTAGGATATGCATGGACTTTTTCTTCTTCAAGTATATCAGGCTGTGGTTTGACTTTATTAAATTTTCGAACCTTCACTAAAATAATAAAGTCATTATTGTCAGGTTACCTAATTATAAAAAATACTTTTACTTCCATTTATTCAAATTACATGAATTGGCTACTTTCAAAAAAGGTAATATCATAAAAATGCTTCACAAAGAGAAATGTTTTTGTTTTTTTTTATGTATTCAAACATTTGAAAGTTTATCATGTGACAAACCTGTACTAAGCATTGGGAACACCGTGATCATTGCTATTATTGATTATAACAACAGGGATTATTTCTTTGTGGACTGGAAGCACAGAAGGCACAGGGGAACTATTTGACTGGAACTCATTCAATTCTCAGAACCTGTCCCTTAGGGGGCTGCTTTCATTACTCATTTTCTGCAGTCAAGTCAAGTGCAGTCCAACAAAGCTGGGTAAGTAGCCAGGGCTCTAATCTGGGAAGCAGGGCTCTGAAGCTTCCACTGCGGACACTACCCTATGACAGAGCTACCAAACCAGAGAAAAATACAAAGAAATATATCTTCCAGAACAGGATAAAAAGGACCATAGAGCAGAGCTTGCACAGGGGCTAGGACACCCCTGGAAAGCAGCCCCTTACTCAGCAGGAGGGATGTGAAGGTGGGGAATTAGGTTTGTGGTTTTTCAGAGAGGAGAAAGAAGGTAGGACTTGAGTTCAGCCTTGAAGGAAACATGCAAGACTGGAGAAAGTGTGTGTTTTGTTTTGTTTTGTTTTGTTTTGTTTTCTTAGGGAGGGCAGGGGGAAGATCCAGAACAAATACTTAGGATCCTGAGAAGGAGAAAGAGAGAGTGAGGATGTGTGTGAAAATGTGTGTGTTTTTTCAATTAAGTATATACTTGTAAAAGTTACATTGAGATGATTAGCTTTAACACAACAAGATAGCTTTAGGAACAAAACAAAACACACACACACACACACACACACAAAAAAAAAAAAACCCACCAAGAAATAAGCTATTTTACTGCCTCCTAAATTTTCCATCTCCTGTCTTAAAGGAGGTAGTCAAGATTGCACTTTTAGTAGAGTAGGGGCTTGGATACCACTAGCCCACCCAGAAAAACTCTCCGCATATCAGTTGAACTAAAAATATTTCTTTTATAAATAACTCAGTGAGCACTAGCACAGGGTTCAAGTATCTGGCCTTAAGTTAACAAGTGCTCTATTGTGTGTATTTCATTATCAGACATTCAAGACAATGGTCAGGTAGAGTGAGACAAAAAGCCTACAAAGGTTATCAATAAACTGAGAGCTTTAAGAGAAGAGACAGAAGGTTCTTAAATGATTTATCCCAAAGCAATGTTGGCCTTAAGCAATTTTGCATGCATTGTTTATACACTTATTTTGTAGTTTGTTTCTTTTAATCGTAAATGCAAGATTTACATGTCAGCTGCCTTTGAGGAATCAAATGGTGGTGGTCTTCGGGGAACTTTTTGTTTTATACTGGAAAGGCTTCACTTTAATTGACAGAAACTTGTGGATGATACACAACTAAAAATGAGGCTCACTGGTATCTTCCTGTGGATTTGAAATTAGAGAAGTCTGAATGTCAGCAATGAGAGATACGGGTGCTCAACAGGTTCTCAGCTACATAAAAAAAAGCTCTGGAAACAACTTCCTTGTTCTCAAATGAGTGGGGCTTCAAGCTGGACTTTGTAAGAACAGCTTAGCTGTAGTTCTCACCTGTGTAGATGAGCAGACATGTCAGGGAACCGATCAGTTCCAGGGCCAGGATGGCCAGAATGAGGTCAAGATACAACCTGCTGGGCTCTGGGAAGGAATGCTGTATGCACAGTGTGAGGAGGAGAGCAGTGCTGCCTGGAGGAGGAAATAACCACAGTGTTAGCCAGAGCCATGCACACCCCCACACCCCCTTTATACAGGAAGTGAAGGAAGTTGGAGGATAAAAAACAAAAATCTGCTCATCTTTTGAGGGAGGAATAAAGGTAAACAAAACATCAAAGAGTTAATGATGTCTCCTAATACCAATATATAAGAAACTGAACTTTCTTAAACACTAAGAAATGGTTTTTTGCTTCATAGAATTATTAACAATGACATTCCTTTGGGTCATCCTTTGTGCATGGTGGTTTTTAGAAATTTGCATTATCCCAGTTCTTCCGCATTCATGGGTACTTGAGGAACCTAGTATATATTCTGTCCACCACTTAAGCTCCTGGCAGACCTACACCGCCTTTAGGAGCACTGCGATCCAGGGGTCCTCAAACTTTTTAAAGTGGGGGCCAGATCACGGTCCCTCAGAGAGCTGGAGGGCCGGACTATATGAACTACTAATTCCTACTGTAACACCTCGGCTGCGCTCACTGCCCAAAAAACCTGGCGGGCCGGATCAGACTCCTCTGCGGGCCGAATGTGGGCCGCGGGCCATAGTTTGAAGACACACTTGTATGAAAATCCGGACATACTGCTAACCTTGGAGAAATGCCTGATTTCCTCTGCTCCTTGACTTTCCCATCTGAAAAATGGAGATAACTATCTTTCTCACAGTGATATTGTTGTTGTTTTTTTAAAAATATTTTTATTATTATTGATTTTAGAGAGGGAGGGAGAGAGAGAGAAGGACAGAAACATCAACACTGAGCCACAGCCAGCCTGGCTGACTTTTTTTTTTTTTTTTTAATATATTTTATTGATTTTGTACAGAGAGGCAGGGAGAGAGATAGAGAGTTAGAAACATCGATGAGAGAGAAACATCAAATCAGCTGCCTCTTGCACACTTCCTACTGGAGATGTGCCCGCAACAAAGGTACATGCCCTTGACCAGAATTGAACCCGGGACCTTTCAGTCCCCAAGCCGACGCTCTATCCATTGAGCCAAACCGGTTTCGGCTTTTTTTTTAAATTTCTTTTGATATATTTCTTTTATATTAGTTTTTTAAATAAATTTTTATGGATTTCAGAGAGAAAGGGAGAAAGAAAGCTAGAAATCCAGTGTTGAGAGAAAATCATTGATTGGATGCATGCCTTCCATGGAGGATCGAGTCCGCAACCCAGGCACGTGCCCTGACCAGATATTGAACTGTGCCCTCCTGGTTGACACTCAATCCCTGATCCACCCAACTGGGCTCTTTTAGTTCTTTTTATGAACTAAAGCCATTAATTTACTTTGACCCTGGACTCCTCCTATTTAAATCTGGGAAAATAATACTTGTCATTCAATCCTGAGTTTAAAATGTATTTAAAATGTATCCAGGGGTCCTCAAACTTTTTAAAGTGGGGGCCAGATCACGGTTTTTAATGTTTTTATTCATTTTTAAAGAAAGTGAGAGGGATAGATGGATGGAAAGATAGACAGACAGAGAGAGAGAGAGAGAGAGAGATAGATAGATAGATAGATAGATAGATAGATAGATAGATAGATAGATAGAAACATCGATGAGAGAGAAACATCTTTGATCAGCTGCCTCCTGCATATCCACTATTGGAATCAAACCAGCAACCCAGGCATGTAGCCTGACTAGGAATCAAATCAATGACCCGTTGGTTCATGGGTTGATGCTCAACCATTGAGCCACACAGGCTGGGCATTAAAATATATTTGGATCTAAGGAACGAGGACAGATAAGTTAGATAAATATTTTCAACTTATTTAGAAGAAAAACCCCTTCTCCCATCTCCCTAAAATAAATGATTTTATTTTCTAGAGAATAACAAAAAGTATCAGGATGAAGCTAATCAATATCCAGCAATACTCAGAGTTGGACAGGGGGGTGGTAAGAGATCAACCAAAGAAATTGTATGCATATATGCATAACACATGGACACAAATAATAGGGTGGTGAAGGCCTGGAGTCAGGGGTAAGGGGGTGGGGGGAGAAGGGGTGCCTAGAAGGAGTTAATAGGGGAAAAAAGAGGACATATGTAATACTTTAAACAATAAAGATTTTTAAAAAAATATCCAACAATACTATCACACCTGACTTTAAAAATAGTTATACTCTTCTTATTAGCTGGAGTTTCTGTATCTTCTATAATTTACCTCTTTTTCTTCAAATAAGAAAAAGATACAAGAAAAACAGAAACAAGGTGAATACCTGCCCCAATCTTTTTGATATTCTGAATCCTTATATGAGCAACATAAAAGTGATGCCATCTGCGATTAAACTAAGGGTCCAATTATTTAGAAACATTAGGATTAAGGATCACATTTTTAACAATAATTTGAAAGTCATTTTGGTGGACTCATAATAACTATTTCCAGAAAATCTCTTATAATGGAACATTATTTTGGTTATAGAGCATATAAGGTCTTTCAGTAATCAAAAAATAGATTTTTGCTCAGGCCTGTGCGGGTCAGTTGTTTTGAGCATGGTCCAATGCATCAAAAGTGGCAGGTTTGATTCCCAGTAGGGTACATGCCCAGATTTTGGGTTCAGTCCTCTGTTGGGGTGCCTTTAAGAGGCAACAGATGGATAGTTCTCTTTCTTTCTCTCTCCCTCTCTAAAATCAATCAAAACACTTAAAAAAAAAAAAAGTTTTCTGATCACCTCCTCCACCCAAAGGTGATAGTGACACCTTCTGGCCAGGAGAGAGCATTACACATCAAGTCGAACATAAAATCTATGGTATCTTCCTCAGGGAGCAAGCAGTAAATGTCGTCCCCTTCTGGATGATCACAGGTCAGCCATCTCTATAAAATGGGCTTTCTCTGCTAGCAGGCCCTCATCTCCACTAAAAATGTCACCGAGTGGATGAACTTGCAGGTTGCAGTTTGTCCTTAAGTAAATGCACTAGCACAGAATAAAAATAAAAATTAAGTTCTGTAATGCTGTTTTTTTCTGGCAAAAAAGTATTCATTTCTAATCTGGTTTAAAGATTTATTCTGGACTCGCAGTCAAAAAGGGTATTTTAACATGATAGAAGCTTTATAATAACTTAAGGCAAAACTACCTACCTAAAGAAGCTCAGTTTAATTCCATTAAGCCTTTGAAACAGTAAAGAAAAGCAGGCACTCATTATTCTAAATGCTAATATTGCCTTCATAATTTGCTTTTCTTTTTTTCATTTTGGATAATGCATCTTATTATGTAACAGTTTCTCTCTTATTACAAGGATAGTACCGAGTTTCATTTAAAATTCCCTCTTCTTATCTTACAGGTATAAAATCACAGCAGCATTTCTATCTCCTTGAGATGAATAATGAGATACAAATACATGGACACAGCAATACATGCATACCATGTTCATAATGAAGGAGTAGAAAATGCCACCTGGAGATGTAACTCTTTGGCATAAGGATTACTTTAAGCCGATTATTTTCAAGGAACAGCAGACACAAGGGAAAAAGCTCTGAAAACAGACAAATTATCCATGTGTAAGACTGTCTCCCTCTCTGTACCAGGAAGAGAAGGATGATTCTAAATCTCAAGAAACTGTTATCAATGGAGAAGGTATCTACTTAAATCTGCTTAACAACGTTACCCTTGTTTTCTTTGCTTTTCTTGTAACCTCCCATAACTGCCTCCCTCCCCAGCATCTTCTTTTGTCTTTAGCTGGAGATGGTATTTAAGATAGTGGCTTTGGGCCATTTTGGGGTGTTACAGTATCCTGAGTATCTGTATAGAGCATACATGTTATTAAACTTGTTTGTTTGTCTCCTGTTAATTTGCCTTTTATTACAGTGGGGATCTCAGACAAATAAATGAAAGGTAGAGGAAAAATTATATTCCTGCCCCTATAATAACCAACACATATTTCAAAGGAAAACGAAGCATATATATATATATATATATATATATATATATATATATATATATAAAAAAAAAGCTTCAAGACATTTAGGTGATCCAAAATTTAGCTGCCACAACACATATCAGTCTCACAAAACCGAGAATCTACAGTAAGTCCTGACTTAACTTTGTGAATAGGTTTCTGTGACATTAAGTAAAACAGCATATAAAGAAACCAATCTGACCATAGGCTATTGATATAAATAAGAATTAAGTTCCTATGGCATCCCATCAACATTTTAACAAAATGATGCTGAATGAAATGACATTATTCAAGGACCTGCTGTATCCTATCTAATAAAAGAGTAATATGCAAATTGACCATCACTCTAACACACAAAGATGGCCACCACAAGATGGCCAGCAGGGAGCACAGTTGGGAGGGATTAGGCCAGCAGAGGAGGGAAATTGGGGCAACCAGGTCTAAGGGAAGGGCATCTGGGGAGGACCCAGGCCCGCAGGTGAGAGCAGTTGGGAGAGGCCACGCCTGCAGGGAAGGGCAGTTAGGGGTAATTGAGCTGGCAGGGGAGCAGTTAGGCATCAATAAGGCTGGCAGGGAGTGGTTAGGAAGTGGTCAGACTGGCAGACAGAAGCAGTTAGGGGCAATCAGGAAGGCAGGGAGGCGAGCAGTTGAGAGCCAGCAGTCCTGGAAAGGGATGTCTCAGATTGGAGAGGGTGCAGGCTGGGCTGAGGGACACCACCCCTCATGCACAAATTTCATGCACTGGGCTCGTAGTCTGATTATAAAATCAAGTTTTCAGATTTTCTTTTTGCTGTAATTTTTGCTACTCAACAAAGCCACAGACAAGCTGAGAGATACAACTGGGCTTACCAGTGGAGTGTATCATTAATGCAAGTCTTTTAAGGTGCCTTGTTGATCGGTAGATCATGTGATAGCCTCGGTTTCTCACTTTGCTGTGGTGATACTGAAGGTAGCGCTCAAGAAGGAAATGCAGAATCCACAAAATAACTTTTCCAAGGATTATGACTGTCTGAACTTTCAGTGGGTTAGTGTAGTTTCCTGGGCACTTGTCCTCATTTGGATTAGGGTAAGAACAAAGCACACCTGTTAAAAATGCTAAAATAACAAACACAACCTGGTGGAAAGGAAAATAGTAGATTTAATATTCAATATTTAGATTTCAGAAACATTATCACCATCCCATCACATACTCGCTATGCTTATGACATTTTGTTTTTAAATTTAAATTGATTTTTCCAGCAACTTTTAGCCCCTCTATGCTCCTCCACCACTGCAATTACTGCACTGTTGTCCAAGTCCATGATTTCTCTCTCCTTTTTTCTTTTCTGCTCAGTTCCTTCACTGCCTCTAAGTTTATGTTTCTGATATCCTATTTTTATAAATGTTTTAAAAAACTGCATTTTTACAAACTTTAAAAAATATATTTTTATTGATTTCAGAGAAGAAGTGAGAGGGAGAAAGATACAAGCAGCAATGATGAGAGAAAATCATCGATTGGGTGCCAACTGCATACCCACACTGGGGATTGAGGCTGAAACCCAGGCATGTGCACCTGACCAGAATCAAACCGAGGACCCTTCAGTCCCGCAGGCCTATGCTATAGCTATTTATTGATTTCAGAGAGGGAGAGAGAAACATCAATGATGAGAGAGAATCACTGACCGACTGCTTCCTACATGCCCCACACTAGGAACCAAGCCTGCAACCCAGGGATGTGCCCTTGACCCGAATCGAACCCAGGACTCTTCAGTTCGCAAGCCAACACTACATCCACTGAGCCAAACCAACTAGGGCTAGTATGCACATTTTAAATGTTGATAAATATAACCAATTTAATATATTTTTTTATTGATTTCAGAGAGAAGATGGAAGAAGGAGAGAGAGAAAAACATCAATAATGAGAGAGAATCATTGATTGGCTGCTTCATGCACGCCCTCCACTGGAGATCCAGCCTAGAACCCGGGCATGTGCCCAGACCAGGAATCTACCCTGATCTCCTGGTTCATGGTTCAAAGCTCAATTATTGAGAAACACCAGGTGAGCTTATGTATTTTTTAAGAAAGTCACCTATACACTGTCACAAAGACACCCTTCCTTTTTATAGCTGCATAGTATTCCATTGTGTAAATGTACCACATCTTTTTAAAAAATATATTTTTTTTTATTGATTTCAGAGAGAAAGGAAGGAGAGATAGAAACATCAATGATGAGAGAGAATCATTGATCTGCTGCCTCCTGCACATTCCCCATTGGGGATCAAGCCTGCAACCTGGGCATGTGCTCTTGACTGAAATCGAATCTGGGACCCTTCAGTCCACAGGCCAACACTACTTCTATTATAGAGCCAAACCAACTAGGGCTGTATCACATCTTTTTAATCCACTAATCTAGTGACGGGCACTTGGGCTGTTTCCAGATCTTAAAAAAAAAAAAAAGAAGGATCTTTTACCCTTTGAGACAGCATGGAGGGGCCTGGAGAGTATTATATTAAGCAAAATAAACCAGTCAGAGAAAGACAAGTATCACATGATCTCACTTATGGAATCTAATGCATAAAATAAGCTGCCAAACAAAATAGAACCAAAAGATAGATATAGAGACAGTAAAGCAACAAGCAGACTGTCAAATTACAGCGGGGAGGGTAGGGAGATTAGGGGGAGATAAGACATCAACCAAAGGACTTGTATGCATGAATATAAGTACAACCAATGGACAAAAAACTCTGGGGAGGGAGGGCATGTATGGGAGTGGGGGGGGGGGCCCACAATGGAAAAATATATAAACAGATAATAATTTAATAATAATAATAATAATAATAATAATAATATAGATCCAGAGATACTGAAGCCTGCAACAGAACGAAAAATTTCAAGGGGTTGGGGGGGAGGGGGGGAGGAAGAGACTAACCAAAGAACTTACATGCATATACATATAACCCATGGACACAGACAATAGTGCAGTGAAGGCATGAGGGAAAAAATGGGGACACCTGTAATACTTTCAACAATACAGATAAATTAGGGGGAAAAAGAAAAAGAACATCACTCTAGATGGATCGCTTTCTTGCGGCAAACTTACATGTATTAACAGAAGAAGATTTGCTACAATGACCGTAGGAAGAGGATGGAATCTGGGTCTAAAATGAGCCTGTAAGGAATACTGTGAAAGATGCTGGCTGTCCAGAAGGGGGTCATCTTCAACACTCTGGGATGGATCCAAGGAACCCTGGGGTGTAGGAAAAAGAAAGCAAGCTATAATTACCACTTTGTGGGTTACGTTTCCTAGACAAATTTACTGAATTATAAAGCTTTAAAAAGCGTTATACAAGTTAGAGGGAAAACACACACACACACTCCCTACCTAAAGCCAATTTTGATTATAGATAAACCTCTGTAACTTCTATATACAAATTGGCAAAAACAACAATCATTAAAACAGGTAGAGGACAGCTTCACTTATCTTCAAACAAGGTAATACACGAGACTAAAGCAAATAATTTTCTTCAAACCCTCAGTACTTAGAGGTGAAGGCTTTATTCAGAGGACTTAAAAAAAAACTTTGTTATGATAGAAATATTTTAGAGTGCTAATAGAACAGAGTACCCTGACAGACTTTCCAAGGAGACTTTTAGTTTGTAGATGTCTGATTCTCAATGAGAGCAACCATTTGCAATGTCACTGAAGTAGTTGGCAAAAGTTCAGCTGCTACTTTAAAAATCTACTTAATCATGTTTAACAGTATTGTCTTGACAGAACAGTACTGTCCAGTCTCTGTTGCATACAAAAATCTCTCAATGTCAGATTCTTAGCTAGTGTGGTCCAGTGGTTGAGCACTGATCTATGATCCAGGAGGTCACAGTTTGATTCCCTGTCAGGATACATGCCCAGGTTGCAGGCTTAATTCGCAGTGGGGGGCATGTAGGAGGCAGCCGATTGTTTATTCTTTCTCATTATTGATGTTTCTATCTCTCCCTTTCCTTTCTTCTCTGAAATCAATAAAAATATATTTAAAAAAAAAAGATTCTTAGGGAAAACTGTTATATAAACTTAAGACACAGTCAAAAGGAAATTACATTTTTCATTGGGGAGGCCAGGGTAAAGGCATGCATGACTAAACAACATATAGTAGAATATAGTGCACAGGATTCTAATAGGGGAGTAATAAATTAGCAAATGAATAGCACAGATAATGCAACAAATTTAGGTTAACTAGGTATCCTAGAATGAGAGGGAAATTATGTCTTAATTTGCAAAAGAGAAGCTGGAGAATAGAATTAGGAGACAGAAGATAAGGGCTTTCTACTTTGGAAGGGGTAAAGGATGCTATGTTGGTCACTAGCATTAAATAGATATTTCAGTAATGTGGGGCTTTGATTTCCAGTCTTAGGCATTCAATGCTGCTCCATAATTTTTAAAATCCTCACCCAAGGATATGTTTCCACAGGTTTTAGAGAGAGAAGGAAAGAGAGAGAGAAAAACATCCATGTAAGAAACAAATGGTTGCCTCCCAAACTCTCCAGGACCACTGGGGATCAAACCCACAATCTCAGTATGTGCCCTGGCTGAGAACTGAACTGACAACCTTTGGGTGTATGAGACCACACTCCAGCCAACTGAGCCATCCAGCGAGGCCACTGGTCTGCAATTTTTAAAAATCAATGCCTAGATAGTTTCCTGTTTAGTTGCCAAAACTCCCGGTACAATTCTGATTACTACTTCTATTCTCTTCAAACTCCTTTGCCTCTGGCTCTTTCTCGTCAGCAGATGTTGTAGTTTCCACAGCTCTTTCCTTACCTAATGTCCATGCAGCCTTCCAGGCTCAGTTGGGACAATTCCCATGGGTAGCCTTCCCGGGCAGCCAAGCATCTCGATCATGCCACCCCGCCCAGTCTCCCCAAGCATTTGGTGCCGATCTCCTCTAGCACACTATCCTGTGATGGTCTCCTTACTTACTAGTATGTCTTCCCCAATAGACTTTACGAGACCCACTCTCCCCACTTCCTATGTATTTGTAATGCTATGACCTGTGGTTGGCACTCAGGGAACACGTGATGAATGAATGAAAGTTCCAAACCTGTCCTGGCAGTGTTCCCTCACTCAGTTCTGGTATCTCATAATCAGGAGAGATTATCAAGAGCTGTAGGGACCATCAACAGTAAGTGCCGTGGTTAAGGGCAGACTCCTAGGACAAACTGCCTGGGTTCAAATGTAAGTTCTACTTCATCCCTCTGTGCCTCAGTTTCCTCATCTTTAAAAGAAGAATAATTATAGGACCTGCTTCATAGCTTTGTTGGGAAGATTAAATAAGTAACTACACATATAAGTCCTTAGAACACTGATAGGTACAGAGTAAGCAATCAATAAATATTAGCTACTATTATCTCTAATTCTTGCTTTCCCATTGATAATATTCATTACCATGTAATATTCATTATCATATAATATGCATTGCCATACCATACAATATTCCTTACCATTTGAACTCCCAAATCTGTTCTTTCCTCTATTCTCACTATCTCCGTCAAGGCTCTCATCATTTTTCATGGCCTGTGCTAATACCTCCCAATCTCTAGACCTTTGCAATTCTCTCACTGCAGAGTTCTTCCAAAACAAACATTCGCATCTCTCTCCTCCAAACCTTGGGTACCTCCCCATTATTCGCAAAGTCCAAACACTTTGTCTGGCTATGTGCTTTACAATCCATTCCCAAGTTACCTTTCAGGATTTGCTCTCACTACTTTCCTCCCTCCTTCCTGATGTCAGCTGCTGTGCCTCCACCTTTCAAATACCTGTCCCAGCAAAAATGCTGTCTCCTTAATGCCTCAACACTGTTCCTACTGCCCTTTTCACCTGACATTGTAATTTTCATATCTACAAGTTTGACGTGGGCCTATTTTATATCTTCCATGTGTCTTTAAAACCTTTATAATACATAGAAAACTGTTATAATTTTTAATGTCTCTTATTTCTAGCTTGAGAATGTCATTTCTGGATCAGTTTCAATGGATTCATACACCTCTCTTTTATAGCTTACTAGAGGCCCAGTGCATGAATTTGTGCACAGGAGTCCAGCTGGCCCAGCCCCAATCAGGACAGATAGAGCCCAGGCCTGTCAGGAGGAGGAGATGGCGGGAGGTTGGCCAGCTGGCCCAACCCAATCAGCCAATCAGGGCTGGGATGGCTGGGGGAAGGGGCCGAGGGCGATTGGCCAGCTGGCTCTGCTCCCAGTTGGGGGGAGAAGGGGGCCGGAGTTGGCTGGGGGTTGGCTGGGGGTAAGGAGCTACGGGCCCCTAGGGTAACTCAGTTAATTCTGGGCATAAATGTTTCTCCTAAAAATGTTTTTATATACTTAAATATTATTTGCAATTATGCTATTACTCCGAACACTGGGATATATATATATATCCTGGTTTGGATCCATCTAAAGGGGCCTCAGAAGTCCTTTCATCCCTACCATACCTGCCTAAATTCAAAACACCCCATTGTTTTCCTCCAAAGTCGGTTTTCTGTAGATGCTAGCCACAGGTCTGCCCGTGGGACACGGGCGGCTGGCCTGCCCGTTGCAGCCGCTCCAGGTCCACATCGCAGCCCTTCAGAGCCAAGGGGGGGAAGGGGCCCGCTAGGAGGGGAGATTCCCGCAGGCGCCCCAGCGGGATGGAGCGGGGCCCAGCGGCTGGGCGCCCGGGACGCGCCAGGAGCCCGGGCGGTGAGGCCAGCGCGCTCAGGGGGAGCCCCCAGTTCCGGGATCACAGCTGCGCCAGGCACGTGGGCTGGGCCCCCGCCTGGAACCCGGAACCCGCAACCCGCGCAGCCACCATCGAGCGGACTCCCGGGAAAATAAAAGGCCGTGGCGGCCCGTCGCCGACCCCACCCCTCCTGGATGCCTCCCATGACCCCGCGCCCCGGGCCGCCCCGCGCAGGAAGCACCGCCTCCCGCCCGGGACGCACGGGGTGAGGGCGGCTTCCCCGCGCAGTCTCCGCCCAGCGCGCCCAGGACAGGAAGAAGGGGATTCCGGGGCCAGCCGCCCGCCACTTGCGTGCACTCACATCTTCCAGCCTGCCCCCCGCAGCCATTTCCCGACGCTTGAGGCCGAAGCCCGGGCCGGCCCGGCCCCTCCACCTGTTCACGGGCGCGGCGGGCCCGGGAAATTGCCACCTTCACAGGGACCGGCCCGCCCCCACTCCAGACACACCCGCTCCGGCGCCGGCCCCGCCTCCGTCCTCCCGTGGCCCCGCCTCCTCGCTTCCGATTGGTCGAGGTAAGGGGAGGGGCGTGTCCCGCCCCGGAGACCGGACCCGTGGGCCGCAGCTGTCGCGTGACCTTGGTTCCTAGGGTTTTCCCACTCTGCTCAGGTCCGCTATTGGCCAGAGTCTTGGGCATTAATTAAAGGATGTATTACAAGTCCAAGAATTTAAAACATTTTCGGCCTCTCCTTGCTTCTTTTTAAAACGTTTACTCTTTTCATTCTTAGGTTTTGTTTGCAGGCATAGCTCCAGGCATAATTAGAACAAGTTAGCAGAATTTTAGAGATCCCATTTTTTAGCTCAAACCCCAGGAGAGAGGCACGAACGAAATAAAGATTCTAACTCCTATGACATATTCACAGATGTCACCGATGGGCATGAGTAAAGAAACCAAATTACAGGCCAGTCTCTCAGGCTTTGCTTATCTGTAGCTCCCTCTTCTGGCTCTGATTCAGTTGGGAATGAGCAGACTCAACCCTGTGTCAGGAGACGCTCTCCTGTGTCTGAGTCTTTCCTTGTATAACGCTTTTAGGAGTAAACAGTTTTACCCTTTTTCAACTTGAGCTGTATATTTTTTAAAATAAGCATTCCCCAGTTAATGGATTATTTAGTGACTAACAGCCATTTGGAAGAAAAAAAGCTGGATCACTCCCACATACCTTAAACCAAAGTAAATGTCTAATACTGTAGTTCAGAGATTTAAACATAAAAGTGAATCGACATGAGTTCTAGGGGGAAAACAATAACAGTTTTACAATAAAGATTATTCATGCATGACCCTGAACCCAGAGGAACTAAAGAAAAAAGTGTGCCCTGGCGGTTTGGCTCAGTTATAGAGAGTGGGCAGGAGGGTGGATTTCTTCCACAGGAGGAGGCAGCCCACCAATGAGAGCTGGAAACCCGGCATGAGACCTGATCACCAACTGTGATCTCTTGGTTCATAGGTCAAAGCTCAACCACTGAGCAACACTGGCTAGGCTAAAAAAGTTTGGAATACACACAAAACTGCTTATCATCAAATTGGAAATAAAAAAGTAAGATCATTCAAAAAAAGGCATGATGTTACATATAAAGAATGCCTTAAAAAATCCACAAAAATAGTCTTAGAGCTAATAAAGAGTTTGGCAATTCTTCAAAAAGCTAAACATAGACTTACTATAAGACCCAGCAATTCCAATCTTAGGTATATATTCAAAGGAATTAAAAGCAGGTACTTGTATTGCCAATGACCATTACAGACTTGTTTACAGGTGCCAAAAGGTGGAAACAATTCATGTCCATCAATAGACAAATAGATTTTTAAAAATGTAATATACTATCCAGTCATAAAAAGGAACAAAGTCCTGATACTTGCTACAACACAAATAAACCTTGAAATTATTATGCTAAGTGAAATAAACCAGATACAAAAGGAGAAATATTATGTAATTCCACTTATATGAAATATCTAGATTAGACAAGTTCTTAGAGACAGGAAGTAGATAGAGGTTACCAAGGGCAAGATGGAAGTAGATAGAGGTTATCATCTGGGAAAGATGGAAGTGAGAGATTATTGTTGAATGGGTAAAGATTTCTGTTAAAAAAAAAATTCTGTTTGAGGTAATGAAAATTAGAGGAAATACATAGTGGTGATTATTGCACAGTATTATAAATGCAATTAATGCCACTGAATCTCACACTTGAAATTAGTTAACATGGCTCCTGCTGGTGACTCAGGTGGTTGGAGCATTGTCCCATACACCAAATAGGATGTGGGTTCAATTCCCAGTCCCGGTGTGTATGGGAGGCAACCTATCCATGTTCTCTTCCCCCCTCTCTCTCTCCCTTTCCCCCTTCCTCTCTCTCTAAAATCATTGGATGAAGATTTAAAAAATAGTCAAATGGCAAATATGTTATAAATATCTAAATATCTAAATAAAAACAGAATTAAAAAAAAAAGTTTGGAATATACCACAAAACTGCTTATCATGTAATTGTGAATCACAGCAGGATTCTAATGTTTAAAAAACATTTTTTAAAGAGCAAATGATAAAAGCAAGTAGTTCACAGAAATAGAAAAGCAAACAGAATAAGAAACATATGTTTAATCTCACAATCTTAAAAATGGAAAATAAAATAACAAAAGGTGCCATTTTACCTATCAGGACATGAATTGTTTCCACCTTTTGGTGGAAGACAAAATTATTAATGAGAGTGTGGGAAACAATCATGCATTATTAGAAGCAGTGTGAATTACAGTAATATTTTGAGGACACTTTGACAAACCTACCTAATAAACATTTACCCAGGTTTTAAATACTTATTTATTCTTTGACTATAGATTTTTTTTTCTGCAGTTGTACATAAAAAAGTGAGAAAAATACTTGTTGCAAAATTATTTCTAAAACTTCCTCTTTATTAAAAACAGTAATAACCTAAATATTTGTCAATGGGGAACTAATTAAATAAAATACTGTATCAATGGAAGTTGACATTAAAAGCCCAGGGGTAGATCCATATGCATGCATTTATATGTACTGCAGAATGATAGCCAGGTAAGAACAACTCAATTTGGAAATATGTATATATGTATCCATTTGTGTGAAAATACCTGTTACATATTTCTTTTTGTACAATTATGAAAATTTTTACAAGAATATACCAGAATCATTCAGTTATCTCTTCTGAGTAGGACTAAGAATGAGGAATAATGTTTTCTTTCCTGTTAAAGTTTTTTCACACTCTGAAATTTTTACCATTCATTACTTTTTAAAGATAATTTTTAGTTTTTATTTATTAATTTTTAGGAAGCAAGAGAAAAACAATGATTTGTTGTTCCACTTACTTATGCATTCATTGGCCGATTTTTGTAGGTGATCTGCCCGGGGATCAAACTGCTACTTTAGCATATTGGTACGACACTCTAACTTGGCCAAGGCTGTAACAACCCTGAATATTTAAAAAAGATTTCTTTTTCTCATATAATTCACATTCAATTGACCTTTATCCTTTAGTAAGTGATAAATTAGCAAAGATTAATCCAAGTATTCAGAGTTTAGAAGGTTATAAGCAGACAAAAGCCTTCCTCACCTACTTAGATTCTAGTTCACACCATTTTTCTAATTGACCCCCAATACTATTTCCTGTCATCAATAAGAGTTTTATGGTTTATCCTTATCTCCCCCCCCCCTCCCGCCTCCGACTAAACTTCAGACACTCTGGAGTGTAATCCATCACACACAACCCGGAAGTGCACACGCAGCAAATGGTCATTGAATCGAACCCAGTCAAAGAGAAATGAGAGGAAAGGTATAAAAATAAAATACTAACGGAAGGTGGGAGGTGAGATGAACAGAGCAAGAAGGACATGGTGGAAGGAGACAGATGGGAAGGAAGAGGAGAGATGACAGAAAGGCAGCCCTTGTAAAAGTTGAGGAGAGAGGTATGGGAGCTGAGGGTCACCTGATTAGGTAGTCACACATGCTTTGTATTAATCAGATCAAGATGTAGGTGAAACAGCAACAGGGCTGGTAGGCGGCACAGGGAGATAAATAAGGTAAGGTGCCTGAGGCAGGGCAGGGGAGGCACCAGGTGAAAGATGAAACAGAGGGGCTGGAGACTGGGATCAGGACACAGGCTTTATTGGTGGAGAATACCACTGCCAGGCTGCCTTCCAAGGAGAAAGAGCACAGGTGCTCAGGAATGTTCAGACTGCAGGTGGAGTTTACATCATTCTCCATCCCTCTGTTGGAGGAAGGGAGGATCTATCACCAGGCACACGAACATTACCAGCTGTCAGTGAGAGGCAGAGCTGTCCCAGGCACTGAGCGAATGGCTACCTGGGGACAGGACCCTCCGCTGGGCCCTCAGCACACTGCCAGGCCACTAACAGCAGCAGGCACTTCATTTGAGCAGATTTCTCGTTGGGTAGGTTTGCTGTGGATCCTGCCATAAACTTGCAGGGTTTACTCCCAGAATGCCCCTAGGTCTGGGGCAGATTCATTGTCTGAAGTATAAGCTTTAAAGGCCAAGGGCATCTCAGTAGCACCTCCAAATGAGGAAAGAAGTGGGCGAGAAAGGGGCAACTGTTCCTCAGGCCTCGGCTTTATGGCGCACTGCAAGCCCAAGCTAATAAGCAAAGTGTTTTACATAAAAACGTAGGGTAAGAATTTAAAAGTCTTGCCGGGACCGGTTTAGCTCAATGGATAGAGCGTCGGCTTGGGGACTGAAGGGACCCGGGTTCGATTCCAGTCAAGGGCATGTACCTTGGTTGCGGGCATATCCCCAGTAGGGGGTGTGCAAGAGGCAACTGATCGATGACTCTCTCTCATCGATGTTTCTAACTCTCTATCTCTATCCCTTCCTCTCTGTACAAAATCAATAAAATATATTTAAAAAAAAAAAAAAAAAAGAATTTAAAAGTCTTCTTCAGAATGTCTACAAGGCATTCTTTGACTCCAAGTTACCCAATTTATTTTATCGCTGCCTTCCATCCCCAAATGGTAGCCATCTTATTGTTACGTAGTTGTTTTATTCGGAGCAACTTCTCACTTGTCCACGGGCCTCCCAGAGGCAAGTGGTGCAGGGGAAAGAGCTTTGGAGTCAGAAAACTCAGCTCCAACATTCCAGTCTACAACTTACCCCTCTGAGCCTCACTGTTCTTTTTCTTTCTTAAAAAATAGAATTCCTGTATTTATTTGTTTTGTTAATCCTCACTAGAGGATATTTTTCCATTGACTTTTAGAGAGAGTGGAAGGGAGGAGGAGAGACGGACAGCTGATAGAGACACATTGATTGGCTGCCTCCCCCAGGCACACTGACCAGGGCCAGGCATCAAGCTCACAAGGTCAGTCTGTGCAGGCTGACGCTCTATCCACAGAGCCAGATGGGTAGAGCTGAGCCTCATTATTCTTACCTATGAAATAATACTTACCTCCTAAGGTGACCGTAAGTATGAAAGCACATGTGGAATCCCTACAGGGGACTTGGCACAC